GATACAGTAAGAAAAGGTTTATGTTTAAATGACGATTCCATTAATTACATGATAGCAAACATAAAGCAACTAATATTGCAATGTGAAAATGCTAATTTGTATTATATGCGGTCAATCCAACGCCTGCAGCAAACTAAGGAACAGTTTTCACATTGTAACATAAGTTCCGTAGCCACAGCAGCAATGGCAACAGCACTAAAATTGTACCCACCTTTATCTGTAAGATCAGCAACTGGTATTTGCAGTTCCGAAAGTGGGAAAAATTCAGAGTCAGAAAATGCAAGGTCAAATAGTTTTGTACAACAAAAAGTGTTTTCGAAGAACTTTGATGGAGAAGCACTTAACTTAGATAGCTCTTTGAAAGAAATTGAAGACAACATATTAAAGTTCGTAAGTGATACTAAATCCTTTGGCCATTCTGTTGATGATGACAATAATAAAAGTATTGAGTCTGAATGTAAGGAAATGAAATATGAAAGAAACTCACCGAACTGTTTTTGGCATCCTAAATTTATTGATAAGGAACATTCTGTAACTGCTGCTGAAATAATACTTGAATGCGCTGCTCTAACTACGCAAGGGAATATAAAAGATACAGATGCAGCAGTGATTGCTTTAAAATCAGCAATTGGAACGGTTCAGAATGCAGTAGGAAATAAAATGTATGAAAATAAAGTCCAAATTAAAGAGAACAAATTGTTTTCTTCATTAAAAAAGAGCAAGAAAGGACTTCCTACAAACATTTTACCAAATTCAAGTGCACCCATCACTACTGTTAAGAACAATGGCATTGTTGAGTCAATGATAACATCAACCCCAAGCAAACATCGACGAAAATCAAATATTGCTCGACGTATCAATACGACGACAGCTACCATGACAGCATCCGATTCATCTACTAGTGCAATATCAAATGCAACGTCAGCATTAGTAAATAAAGTAAGTCAAATTAATCCATATAATAGCCATGTATTCAGTAGTACTGCTACGATTCCAACCTTATCTAATGTCTCAACACATATCGAAAGTAAGTATTCTTCAAATGCAACTATACTTACGACAACAAAATCATTATCAAATGCAGTGACCACTTCAACTGAAAAGTCACCGCCACCAGCTACAATGTCGTCCCCAACAGTAACCGCGCCCGCAACAAGTGCAGTAGCGACTGTTGCTGCTTTTCACGGTAGAACGTTCACAGATATTTTTAAAGCTCAATTCAATGCTCTTACCGCCGCTGCTGTTGTTATGAATGCTGCAGCAATAGGCAATTCTTGCCCTAGTGATATGCCATTCGATTTAAGCATTGGATCAAAATTAAAGCAAACGTAAATACCTTACATTTTGTATTTTCTGTTAAGTATATTTAAGGCGTATTCACACTAAGGTGGTGTATCCGTGGATGAGTACGAAAAATATAGACAAAAGAGTAACAAACTCTAGTAGTCAAGTATAATCATATACATATTTTTCGTTATTCCATGTCAAACGCTGGTACACCTCTCTTTCTTAAATACGCCTACAATTTTGTTTTTTTATATACATAAACGGAAGAAAGTGCATGTTTTTGTGACCCAATTCCTAATCAGTCAAACCCAACAGAAATCCTCTGTTCATATTTTTTGAGCATTTATAAACATTTCCAGAAACGAATATTTTTTAATATCCTTGACACTATTGTGAATAAGATGGATATTTGGTTTGTAAAGATGTTTTTCGCGCAGTAAAAGAAACGTTGCAGTCTATCTGAGTATATATGTTTCACTTTCAATCAGTACAATAACACGAATAGATTTAGAAAAACCCATCTGTTTCTTGTTAGCTAAACTAGTCGTTCAGTTTTAGAGTTAATCGATTAAACTTTCCCACAAGATCGTCTTTTGAGTCCAAACAGATCACACTTATTCCCGAAAAGAGGCTTCTATTCTTATATATGCACATTTTTGCATAGGATTTATATTATAAAATGACGTTCTTATATATGTATTTATCTGATAAAATGTTTTTTTAGTAAATAGGAGAGAGAATACGTGTGAAGAGTATTGAAAGTACAACAATCCCAACACTAACTGTTTTCTTGTTTAATATTTATTTAATTGTTTTTATATTATATTTTAAAATATTTTTTTATTATTACATTATTCATCTTACAATAATGAATAGCTAAATTGAAGCACTATTAGATCTCAGCAGAACATAATCTTCCATCGCAAGTCTAAATCGCGTCTTCCTAGTAATGCTTCCCTAAAGATTTAAAGTTTGTGTTCAATTATGAATTAATTAATTACCGAAGAAATATTAATATAATTTGTTGTGTATTATAATTTGTATTTTTGTTATGGGACGGCGCAACATCTTATTTAAATACTATTTTCCTTTTGCTATAATTTCTAGAAACTTAGATACCAAAAATTCCACAAATTCACAAAGCAACGAATGCAAAGACAGTTCGGACGACAAAAAAAAGCCGCACATCAAGAAACCGCTGAACGCTTTTATGCTTTACATGAAGGAGATGCGCGCGAAAGTCGTTGCGGAGTGCACGCTCAAGGAATCTGCAGCTATAAATCAAATATTGGGTAGAAGAGTAAGTACCGCATTGTGCGCACAATAAATAATTATAATAATTAATTATTATTTAATTATGATTTTAAGTTTTAATCACTTCATATCCATTGTATATGTTGTGTACATAATTTGAATTTTAAATGAATATACATACATACGACATAAAATTACTTGTTTCCATTAAATTGTATTTCTTCCATTTTTTGAGAACTTCTTACAAACACTAAAAATAAAACATTAAAAATGAAAAAAACATTTTCCAAACCGATCTCCAAACACACGTTCCAACTGCATCGAGGGCGTTTCTTAATAAACTTTGATATTATCACGGATAATTTCAACTCAAATAAATTATTCTATATCCAGCATTACCTACCTATCCTATTTGAATGCATATTGGATATTGCCATATTGTATGTAGAAATCTACGCTTATACGAACTATATGGGCTCTATGCCTATGTTCTCATAACAAATTCAAGTACGTCCGCAGTACCGTTAGTGAGAGCTGCAACAACCGGCTCTTACCCTATCTAATAACTATGAAACTATGAAACATATATATTGAATATTGTGTTTAAATATATTAGGAGTTAATATCATGAACCGTTAAAATCAATCCTAAATTGAAACAGCACATATAGTACATACTACTATAGTACGTACTATTTTACTTTTAAAGTAAACAAATTTATAAAATAAAATCATCAGTTTTTGAGTTACACTAGAAAAACGTTTTACAAAGCTTAAAACCTCTTGTAGTGGCATGAACTGACCCGAGAAGAGCAAAGTAAATACTACGAAAAAGCGCGCCAAGAACGTCAGTTGCATATGGAATTGTACCCAGGGTGGAGTGCACGAGACAACTATGGTTATGTGTCGAAAAAGAAAAAGCGTAAAAAAGACAGATCGCCCGCGGATTCGGGAGGTATTGCACAGAATTTTTATAAATATTTTGTTGCTTTTATTTTCTTTAAGTTAATTCATAAAATTTATGGACCTGTACTTATTCTTAAAAATACCAAAATCACGTCTACAGACTTTTTAATCTACACATTTTACAAGGCGCCTCCCTTCTCTCTTTTCCATAATTTGTAAAATAAAAATATCGTTTTGTTCCCCTAAATATAATTTGCATTGAGAATGTAAAATTTACAGGTTTACACAATGAACTTGAAAGGAAAATAACCATCATTATATAGAAGTTTGCAAATTGAGGTGTTGTAGCAACTTAAAAATAAGATCGAACATAGAATGACTATTCGGTAGCGATGAATCGCATTTCTGGCTTAATAGCTTCGTAAATAAGAAAAATTGTTGCATTTAACGTGACGAAAACCGACATACTTGTCAAGACACATATTTACACTCATATAAATTAACGGATTAGTATGGTTTAGGCCACATGCAGGTGACAACTGCAAACTGCAACCGCAAAGGCATTCGCAATTCCACTAAGTAAAACCAGTTTAACATTTGCGACTGCCTTTACCGCAGTCTCATATGTTATTGCATTTTTTATATACAGTTAATAGTACAGTCTTTCCGGCTAACATGGCCTGAGGATGTGCAAAGATCATAGATTTTGGAATAATAGCAAAATAGTTACCGTCAATTAATAACGGAACAAAACATTCTAATTAGTTTCGATTTTGACGGTATGTAGTATTGTACATAATGCCACACATCTAGCCGGTACAATCAATTTATTAAGGTATAAGATCAGTGACCATGTAATTACCATAAATCTGATATAATCCAGATTTGAGAAATATCAAGATAATGCGATATAGTTTCGTTATTTTTTTTTTAGGTTATGTTAAATAAATAGCCTCATCCGCTATTACAGATTTATATGAGAGTGAGAGTAAAAAATATTTCAAACTAATATGATTGAATTTAATAGACAATAATTAAATTGCTTAGAAATATTCTCCATTTAAAATCACTCTACTGGCATTTTGATGAAAAATATTTGTTTAATATTTGTGGCCAAATTTCATTCCAAAATTCACATGAAATATTTTCGAAAAATAATTCTGATAAATTGACTCAATAAAAATGTGTACGCATTCACAGTACAGTCGAAGGCAACAAAGAAGCCAGTTGGCCATTACCAGAAGGAATTCCCCATGGTCTAATTTAGGCAATGTACAAATGTTTTTCACTTTCCCGACGAAGCGTATTATTTTCTATTAATGTTTTCCGCCCGCTGGCATTGTTTATGAGCAAGTTTATTAATTTTGTGCTCCTGACCAAAACATTTTTGGCACGGATATTGGTATGTGCCAACAAGTAACGATACAGGAAATGAAAGTTTGTGCTCATACATAACATACTTCCACCCACACACACACATACTCACACTGGCCATATATGAACAACAAATTAACTAATCAATTATTATCAAGAGCACAACCGATATGCCTACCTATACACGCAATAGAGTATATTGATGTTATATGGGTTATATGGGTTATATTACTGGTTACTGGCCTACATGACTTGGCTGCAGCCTCCAAGAGAATTTTCTTAATAACTCATTTTTCTATCGTTATTATGCCTTCTTCTTTCCAATTTTATTGTTTGTTATTTTATAATAGAATTTCTTATTTGTTCGAAGTTGTCTCACTTACCGCATGCTTCTGTTCATGGCATCCGTTTCTGTCGTGTTCATGCTGTTTCACATTAACGCCACCGCAGACGCGCTCATTGAGATTTGTGGCGTTGCAGCGTTTTTGGCGTTTACCACTGGCTTCATTGCCGTCGCAGTCGCTGTCATTGCTGTGCTTACCGCTAATGATGCTATGTCGTGCTAGGCGACAACATATCCTTGCGTACGTGCATTGCAACGCCTCGGCGAGCAAGGCGCCTAAGCTTGATAGACACATCAGCATCAGTGGAACTCCAAGTAAAGCATACAAGATTGTGGCTATTTTGCCAGCAGCCGTTTTCGGTGTAAGACTGCCGTGACCTGACATAACCGTGTCCGCACAACCCACCAGTATGAAGCAGAAGACGATGAAAAATAAACAACCATGAAAATAAAATGGAAAAGTTATTAAATATTTGTTGAGTCTAAGATATATTAAGGAAAAATAACTTGAGTAATTTGTGAAAATATTTCTCTAAAGGATGATATTTATATGTACATTAAACAAAAACAAAGCGCATTATGAGTTATCTTATAAAGTATTTACTATGGTCGCACACTGGATTATATAGGAATTTAAAAATGGTTGTCAAACGATTATAGTCTGGCTTAAATATAAATTATTAATAACTTTCGATATTAATTACATTTAATTGGTTATATTAATAACACTTAATTTACTACTAATAACTGAAACTTGACAAATGCTGCCTAAGTGAATGTTGCTAAAGAGACACTGTGCCATGCTACAATGTTAACGTATTTCGAGATACGAACTCTGTAGCAGTTACTATGATGCAGAGAAAATTTGATTTTATATGGCTCATATGGGTTATACAGCAGATCATTGTACAGCAGATGATTGTAATAACGACACCAAATTGAGTGTCATGAAAATCACTATCTAATCTTAGAGCAGTCAATAGGCGTACGGGGCGGTATGCAGATCTTAGGTCAAACATCGAATAATCAGTGAAGCTTGTGAGGAATACATAAATTAGAGTACAATTACCCAGTTGCACTCAACATAAGGAAAGCAAAAAGGAGTTATAATACAAGAACCAATTTCTGTTGATCCTTTATGTGTTTTGTTAGAAAATTTATGAGATACATGTTTGCTGAGCAAGTTGATGACAATCTGGTTGCTCAGTGATACCTGTGTATCTAACTTAGTCAGGATGTTTACACAGCTATAGCTCAAGTAACCTAAAACAGATTGCGTTCTCTTTCAGCTTCGAATAAGTCAACGATTTGCTACCGTAAACGTAGGTTTCCTCACCTAGGTGGTGTGGGTTGTTGTTACCTTTACGCCTACTTCTCTGTCTCTATAGAGATAAGTACTAATTTTAGCATAAAAAATATCAAAAATTATTTTTTATTGAATTGTTAGAAATGTTTTTTTTTTTGAGTTAAAAAAAACATGATCTAAAGTAAAAAATTTTTTTGTGAGATTTTCAATTTTCATCTTACCAAATTTTTACCTAATTTTGAAAATTTTCTCCCTAATCTAAATTATAAATTACAGATAAAAATTTTTTTGACTTTATTAAAACAAATAAATTCGTTTTCCTGCTGACATATTTGCGCCGTCATATCTTCAGGCCATTAGCAAAATTATGCGTTTTGGCCTTAAGCTACTAAGCAAATTATAGGGAATGACTTTGCATCTTCAGCACCAAATATGCATAAGTAAATATTTACTCTAGGATGATTTACAACAACAAACAACAAACAACAACAACAACGGGAAAAAGAAAAAAATATGATGGCATAAAAAACGGAAAAGCAACAAATGTTAAATATTTATCTACAGTTTGCGTGCCGAACGTTTATTAGCCAAAAAGTATGCAGCAAAAGAAACTGTAAATAAATTTGTCTATTAAGTCAAGGATACGTCAGGATGATGCCGGAAACAGCGAAGGAAGAAAAAATTAAAGATTTGTTAGCTTTAAAGTTGATGTGTTTCTTAAGTGAAGGCATTTTTGACGCTTCAGATATACATAAATTTAATTAATAACTCATAAATTATATTTTAAAATTAATTTTAAAATTTTCATTATTGCTGTACTCTTATAAACAATCATAGACAGATTGAAAGAGTAAAGAGTGATAAGTACAAAATACTGGAATGAAAAATTAAAATTATTGTCTGCTTCATGCGCCGGTCATAAAAACTCAAAAATAAGGAAATTAAAAATTTTAATTGAATTATTTATTGAACTCTGAATTAAACTATAAAATTAAGGCTCAATAAAATGTTGAACGTTTTTTAATTCGATTTCATTGATTTCAAAGTAAAATTGTCTCATGCTGCTTACACTTACCAATTGTGGTTATTACGGTCACTGAATAAAGCAGCGCTTCACTGAAGGACCAACGTGTTTGTTCCATTGCATCCAAACTGGCACCAAAATGCCCCAGCGCAGTAGTTCTGACACCTGCGCCGAAACCACTCGAACCGACAGCGTTGCCACTGTGTCGTGTGGCAGCTACAATTGTGCCCTCAAAGCGCCGCAGTTGCTCATGCACCAACATCGTCCAATTACGTTCGTAGAGAACGTTAAGTTTTTCTGTAAAACGAAAAAAAACAGACAAACCAAGTTTTATATATTTTATTTACAAAATTTCATGTTCATTTAATTAACATAAATGCACATGATGCTAATGCATTTGCATATGCAAAGGATTTCGGTGAGTTCGTGCCGTGTAACTTTTTTCCTTTTTTGGGGTAATTAAAGTGTAATGAAGTTGACTGAACTTAATGCCATTTAAAATTTTCTCTTTTAAACATTTCTAAAGAAGCTCTTTTAACCTTTTTCGACTATATTTGAAATATGAATATTAATTTCAATGCAAATATTTTAAATAAAATTGTATTTTGCAGTCAGTCAATGCGATAAAAATGGAACACTACATTTCAACATTATATTCATTTGTTCAAATAATAAAAATAAGAGAAATTCTTTATTAATAAAGTCAGGAAAAGTCCAGTAGGCTATACTTAAATAATCTATTAATGCAATCACAAACAATCAGTACTAGGTTAAATTATAGTTATCACCCGACAAAACTAGAAGGTACTCTAATGGCGTTTATAGGTTGTTTAGGGAAGAGATTCAAACAGGAATAAAAGTTCTAGAAGTTTCTCAAACACTACTACATAAATGATAAGGCATAATGACGTGGTAAAATAGGTTAAATATAACAATTTATCGAGAAAATTGAACTAAAAGAATAGTTTTGAATGAATAGTTCATGAATGGGCGTCGCAGATCTCTAATAGTTACACAATTTAATAATATTAAATAAATTC